AGTAAATGTCAGGACAAGTTTGTCAATCAAGATATGCAGTTTATCCACACAGACATGTTTTCCAAGTGTACATCTTCTGGATAACCTTGAATTTAAGCTGAACAATACGGACTCAAAAGGTTAAAATGTTCATATTTTAACAAAGCATCGCTATAATTTTTTTTTTCGTGCATATACATTTTATTCACAATTTACTTGTTTCTGTTCACATTATACATTAAGCATTAAATGTTTTTCCTAGAAAATGTTCGAAGACGGAAAAGAATGGAATCTTCAATCTCAGGTAAATTAATCACATTTGATAATAAGAATTTTCATCTTATTACCAAAAAATGTTAATTTGCATCAAAAGAAAGATAAGAACATATACAATCCTTACTTATTCTTAATACTTCAATAGGAAAGAGTACAAACCATAAGCAGTATTACATCACGATATATCACTTGTTTTTTCTTGTCCATTTCTTTTATACAGAAATCATACCGGATTCTATAATTAAACAGATGCCTATCAAAGATTTTATTTCTGGACTATCAGGAAGAAACATAGACGCGTCATCTTTTGTTGATACGGTCAATCTAGCAAAAGAAGGAATAAAGGATAAGGTTTTATTTAATATATATATATATATATATATATATATATATATATATATATATATATATATATATATATATATATATATATATATATATATATATATATATATATATATTCGTATTCTGAGTGAAGAAATTGTTTTTTTTTTATCAAAGGTATTTTTTGTTATTGCAATCACTTTATGATTTTGCTTTTTTAATTATGTAAATGTTAAATGATGGGCCACTCAGTTTCTATTGAAAAAATCAACAGATATAGTTATCTATTGAGGTAAATTACAAGGATCTGTTATATATTTTTTAAAAATTTGGAATAGATGTGAATAAACGAGAATAATTCGCTTGTCTATCAATTTATTTTGCAGTTAAATATGAAAAGTTTAACACCAAAGAGTACAGTTACTAAAGAATTTTTGAAAACAAGTGACAAAAGAGATCTTGGTGACGATCCAGAAAAAAAACTCGATTTAACAATTTTCAAAGTTGGATACACATTTGGAGTGGGTCCAATAGGCATACATCTTGGTAATTAATCTATTAGTAGTCTATGAAAAAGGTGGGGAAAATGAACACTGATCGAAATAAAAAAAAAAGAAAAAGAAAAAACCTACAAACCATAAAAACCTGTGAACAGAGCGGGTCCCTGCAAATTCCAGATTTGGACTCCGGTGCCTAGAATAAGTAATTATCTTTTGTCGACTGGTCAAACCCGCTGGAGCCCTATGTATTGATCAGAAGAAATATTCCATAGTAAAATTTAGTATAAAATCAGGCGTTAGTTTAAAGATTTGTTTGAGATCGATCACTATTCATTATCTTCAACTTTTTCATTCGAAAGAAATTACGTCATCTTTATAATTTTCTTATTTTGAATCGGCATTACAAATATATATTGAAATCAAAAGTGTATTTTGTCCAAAAGATTTGGTTAAACACGTCTGATTCAATGAAATATATGACAAAACTTCATTTAAGAGCTTTTAAAGTCTACTATACTTCAAAGAATATTCCTGGAGAAGCAAATCATTTGCTCATTTCCTTTGTATATTTACATCTTTTAAAACTTTGTTTTAGAATTTGGTGCAGGTGGAGCCTTAGGGCTGTCTATTTCCTGTGATGTTCGTTCAAAGAGTGGCACTTCAATAGTAAGAGTCAATATATGCCAATATGTTTCACTGAAAATTTTGTATTGTATCCATCTTTAAAGAGATCATTCATTTTTGAAAGTTGAAGCAAACATCTCAGAATTATTTTAAAATTCCACAAAAAATATTGTTGCCTATTACAACTATAGTTTATGGCATATTGAATTAAAAGTATAGTATCTATTTAAAAAAACTGAAAAAAAAAAAAAAAAAAAAAAAAAAAAATTGAAATAAAATTTGGAATTTTGCATTTTAAATCTAATAATTAATCCGTGAAAGGAATGGGTGGATTGATTTATGTTTTAATAAAATTTCACTACTATTCATTTTGAGCTACAGTCAGACACTCTTAACGAGTGTTAAACTTCAAGAAAATGTGTGTCGGATAACTTGCCCTTTAATGTATCATTTATAACGGTCCACATGAAAAAAAAAAAATGTTTGTTTACGTCTCTTTCGAGAATTTTTCACGCATATGAAGACGTCACCACTTGCATGCCTGTGAAAGGCTGAAAATCTTGACCTATACTCGACACTCAGAGTGACTGAGCAGCGAGGAATCTTTTTCATGCAAGCACCTAATGCGACATCGGACTTCAGTGCATACCGTTTCAGTACCAGCACATACTGCGACATAGGATCTCGGTGTATACGGTCTCAGTGCTTGCACATACTTCGACACGGGACCTCGGTTTATACGGTCTTAGTGACAGTACCTACTGCGACACGGAACCTCGGTTTTTACGGTCTCAGTGCCAGCACCTACTGCGACATGGGACCTCGGTGTATACGGTCTCAGTGCCGGCAACTTCTGCGACACGGGACCTCGGTTTATACGGTGTCATCCGAAGAACGATAAAGAATTCCATGTATTATTGTGAATGTGAGAAAGGCACGAAAAGTCAACATGTCCGCAACACACTTCGTTTAGTGTCGCAACTTTTACTTTGTATAGCATAGTATTGTAATAACTGTGCAACTCTTGTCTGTGTCGCAAGGAATGTAAAATGTATAGTATGTGAATAATCTACAAATTCTTAATTTCAGATTACCATTGCTCCTTGGATTTCGGGTCAAGTATATGGTGGGGTGTCAGTTGAACTTCTCATTGCAAGCGGAGGAATAAAATTAATCGGATATATAATGAAAACAAAATTTCCTTTTACAACCGAAACTAAACAGTCCAAGTCCCCAGTGGAAATTGTGTAAGCAAAATAATTTCCTCTTTAAAATCTGCGATACATAAACGAATCTAATATGATATCTTATATATGATTTAAAAGCTTTTGCAATTTTTTAGATTTAAATTATTTTTACCATTTCTTACAATTGTTATTGTTTGATTTGAAAAATATTAAAATTCATATTTTTGACAGCCAAAAACTGGATGTAGAATTAATTCCCTTAGAGTTAAAACTCTGCGCCTGGGCGAAAGTATTTGGAGCAAAGGTTTTTGAAAAGTGTTTTTGGAGTTGGAGTTGCCCTCCAATTAAGTGGAATATTTTTACTAAAACAAAATATGGTAAAACAGGTACACCACCAAAATTTGACAATGAATGTGAAGTTAAACAACTACCCGGGCGACATGTAACAGATACAGCTTTCCACCTGGAGGCATACGCACAAGATGATGGAAGCGATCTCAAATTATCTTATGCTGTTGGAACATATATAGGAGGGACAGATGTGTTGAACTGGCAAAGTTTTCAGGGCACAAGTCTGGTGTCACCAGCAAAACTTATAAATGGAATTCCGCTTTACTGGACGGTCAAAGCTAAAAACACTGAAGGGTTAGAAACTGTTGCGAAATGCAGAATACAAACATACGATAATACAAATCCTGATGGTCGCATAGAAGCAGCATATCCCTTTACATCTCATCCAAATTCTTTACAGGCTGATGTTATAATTCTAGATGATTCACCACTTATAGATTATAATGTTAAAGCATTGGGATACAGTCCTGGCCCGTACGGCAGCGAGGTGATTCCTTGGGATAAGTTAGATTTGCGCTCTTCTGGTTCAAACATGAATATTTTATCAGATTTAAAACATTTCTCACAAGGAAGAGAGGGAAAGTTATCAGCAGAACCTTTGAAGACATCAGTCGAAAACAGTGAAATCTTATGTGCAACAGCTTGTTTAAAATATGGTCAGAAATGTGTTTCAATTGATTTTGACGCTTACACTCAAACGTGCAACTTGCATTCAGTAATTGAAGGACCCTTTGCCTCTCTGCACAAAATGGGAACGTATTCAAACTATGAACGCATTGACATTGGGTTTAATGGCCATATATCATACAAAAACATTTCTCTTGAACATGGGACTGTTTATTACATTAATGTACTCGTAACAAACACTCTTGGATATAAATCCATTCTTTCCACCAAAGGTACTATTATTGATTTCACGCCCCCTGAACCAGGAAATCTTGGATTAAAAATTCTAGATACTTTAAAGGCCGATGGTTGTAATGCTGCAATAACGCAACGATGTAAAGATGTTACCTGGAAAGAGAACCATAGGTGAGTGTTAATTTCAGAGTACTTCACAGCTTAGAAAGTAGTACTCATTGGCTTCCCTAATAATAACCGTTCTTTCTTTAAAATGTCATCTATTTGATGGACAGTAAGCTAAAAATAATTCCATTGATTTGAAAAAAATGTGAAACAAGTAATACCGCAGATTTAAACAGACCATCAATATATAACGATTGAAATAATATCACCTTTCAAATTATTTTTAATCATCTTTTTAAATGTATGCAACATTATTTTCAGGCTTATAATAGATGGTGTGGGTAGTCGAACCGTTTTTAATGGGCATCATCCGGCAGTTGAAGAGAAATATACAATTTCTAATCATTATATATCAGGTAAAGTTTGTTTTTGTTTTTGTTTTGTTTTGTTTTTTTTTTTTTCTTTTTTTTTTTTGTTTTTTGTTTGTTTTTTTAAAGCTATAAAGAAAAAAATTAATCAGGAGATACATAAAATTAAACCCACTACAAACTGAAACAATTAAATAAAACACTTTTTTGAAATATCTTTTTTTCTGTTTTAAAGCCAACTGGGACGGGTTCAAAGACAAGGAGAGTGGGATATATGGCTATACTTGGGCTGCTGGAAGAAAGCCATGTGGAACCGATGTTGTTAAGTATAATGACCCTCATGCCACTCTCTCAAGTCGAAAGTTTTGGACATACACTGGGGTTAAAAATAATATACATTTAAAAGATGGGAAATACTACGTTACTGTCCAAGCATTAAACAACGTCATATATGGCGGGTCCCTTGTAACTACAGTTTGTCATTCTACACCGCTAATTATTGATACTTCTCCCCCAGTTTTTCACCAAGTGCCTGATATAATGTTTGACGAAGATTTCGACATCCTGGCTGTTTATTATAATGTGTCAGATGATGGATCTGGTATAAACAGAATAGACTTTGGATTAGGAAAATCTAAACACGACATCGAAGTGCGCGGATACGTAAGAAGAAATCATATGAACAGATTTGATCCATATTTTGTGGTGGAAAACTTGGATTTAAAGCCCGGGGTGCCGGCCTGGATAAGAGTTAGAGCAGTTAATAATGGTATGACTAAACTAAAGGTTTGCTTCTAATCGAGCTCTTTGTTTGCTTTTTAAGTAGCTGAAGGTTTCTCAGATGCAGCATTATCTTATTTTATATTCATCTGGCATAATTATAATTGGCCTACTCCAATGTTTACTTTTTATTTTATATGCTTATTTACCAACTTAAAACCAACCTTAAAATATGTAAAATCAACCTCCTATGTCTTGAACATTATTTATTTCAGTTGATCAATTTGCATCTGGGCATGCGCCTCAGCCAATCATGGTAGATAAAACTCCGCCTATTGTAGGAGTAGTTAGTGATGGAAACAAACTTCGACGTGACCTTCAATATCAGCACGAAACTAACAAAATTTGTGCACAATGGACTCATTTTTATGATCCTGAATCTGGAATCAAAGAGTATGTTTTTTTACCTCAGTCTTTGAAATTATAGCCCAATTTTTACTTGTTTAGTGAAATTTTTTTGGTAATTTTTTTAATTTGACATTTTTTAAATATATAAACTTATACTAGTAAAGTATTGTTTGTAAATCGTGATCGAATAGTCTTGGATTCAACCCAGGCCGCGAGCCGACTGACCTAAGTCCATGAAAAATAGGTTAAAACTTTTTTTAGCCAAGGGCTTGACACTTTGAAGTGAAAGTTCCAGGTTTGATGATGAAACTGTAAAACCGAGGCTCCGTGTCAGGACAGACGATGACACAAAGGGTCCCTTACTGCTCAATGACCCTGACTTCCAAGTAAAAGTTGTAATTTGGAGTTTTGAAGGGGCCTTAAACAATATACAATATACGATCAATTAATCAATTTTGTGAATTCTACAAAGAAGATACCTAACGGTAGCTTAATCGATAGATTGTTAGTACTGTGGTCGGAAGATTGTAATTCGCACTTCGGCTACTACAAACCGAAGTCGATAAAAATTATTTAGCAGCTGTTCCTTTTCTTGGCGCTCCACACTAGCCTAAGACGTTTCGCAAGGGATGTAAAACCAACTAAATAAACAACGAACACAAATTACTGCATTTATGAAGTTAAATGAACTATTTTTTAGGTTTATATGGGGCGTTGGAAGTGCTCCGGAACTGGATGACATAGTACCATTTAGAAATTTTAGTCACCATACAAAAATGGGATGTGCAGAAGCTATCTTGAAGCACAATAAAACCTACTATTCTACCGTAATTGCATTCAATGATGCTCTTAATTCCAAGAAATCAAATGGATCCTCGGACGGGGGTAAGCATTCTTAAGGACTCGATCATTTTTCTCTCAGTTTAAATGCATATTTGCTCGCGTACGTTCGCATTATTATAAATTCATAAATATGAAAAATAATATAATCTCTTATTAATGAAACATAAGTTAATATATTGCAATCTTAATATAATCAATGCACCACAATAGAGGTTATTAACCATTTGTGCAAATCATTGTCCTTGGTGTAGAATGGTAGAATAGGATCACCTTAAGGGATCAATGTTTTACATAGGGATATACATATATTGGGTTAAAATTCAATGTGGTGAAATTTGAACTTATTTTGTTCAAGTCATAAACAAGCCACCCCCTCTTTCTTTAAAATGTTTGAAAATTTTCATTTACAGTTTTAATAGACGTAACACCGCCTGATCCTGGATTTGTGAACGATGGCATTGATCAAAGTTTAGACAAAAATTTTACATCTGAGTCAGCAACTGTCCGCGCGTGTTGGGAAAATTTCACCGATCTAGAAAGCCACATAGCAGATTATAAAGTTAATATCTACGTCAATAAAGAGTTGAAAAAATCATTTAATATGGAGCAGGAGAAAATATTCGAAGATCATTCTTTCTCCCTTCATCATCTCGATTTTGTCTCTGTTGAAATAGAAACAAAAAATGGCGCCGAACTAAAAATAGTGAAGTCTTCTGATGGTGTTTTAGTTGATCATACACCTCCTAATGTGATCATGATAAGGGACTGCCTTTCTGGCAATGGGTACCAGGCTGACGATAAAAATATTTTTCTGCGTTGGAAATTTGAAGACCAGGAGTCAGACATTAAAGAATACAGAGTCCTTATTAACCGTCTGGAAGCAGGACAGAAATTAAAGATATGGCCAGAAAATATGGATTATCAGATCTTTGAAAGTAGTTCCAAAGAAGCTGAAAGATACAATATATCTCTGTCTTTGGCATCTGGTTATAAATACTTTGCACATATCACAGCCATAAACAGAGCCGATCTCTCTACCACACACGAATCCAATGGTGTTGTGATCGACATAACACCACCGACACTTATCAAAGTAAGTGGCAAATCGAGTAAAACATACAAATTATACACATTTTTTAGTAGAACCTTTTCAACTGTTCATTGGTCATTCCTTGTTTTTTTAATTAATATTTATATCAACTTTTTCTGAAAAATTCAATGCAATCTTAAATTTCTTCTACTTTTTTATCTATATTATTTCCGCAGACTTTCGTCTGCCTCTTGCAAGTTCCCCTTTTTCGAATTAATGATACACATTCAACCAATGAAAAAATGTTCATTCGTTATTTGCCAGAGACCTTTATTCAAATGTAAAACGATCTACTTATCCTATTTGTTGGTTTGGATATACCGATAATCATGAGCTTTGGATTAAATTTCCTTGTGAAAATGAGCTATTCAGCTATTCATAGAATCTGCATAAAATGTGAAGATAACGTAAAGTGATGATTCTCAAAAATCCATTCAAACAACCTCGGTTTACATGTTGATAGAATCAGAATGTTTTTAATAAATTTTTTCAGATGAACAATGACAAGGTTTGCACATTTTCGACTTCTGTTGTAATGAAAAGACTGATCTTTATCGTCGGAAATGGTTGTATAAATTGTTTAAAAATCGCACGTTTGGATGCTATTGGTTTTGACAAAAATCTGTGATCTCAAAGTGTCCACATAATCGCTACAGAGTGATTAGATTGGTCAAGATAAATACGGGTCAGTTTAAAAAGATTCAGCCGTTCATTATACTAGAACGAGAATTTTTTTTAGTAAGCAGCCACGGGTTTGTGGTATTGATACAAAACCCATGGTTTGCAATTATGCATCGCAATAGGCTTAGCTGAAAATACCTTATTGATCCAAAACATCTTGCAAGTTTCATCAATATAGGCAAAAAAGAATTTAATTTTCATAGCTATTGGATCTTTTAAATGTAAAGATGCCATTTGATTTTTTTTGTGGTAGTGTAAGTATATTTGCTATTCAAAAATGGATTAGAATTTCGTTTTTGAACTAAATGAATAACATTCTCTTAAACGTCTTGCCCTTTAAGAAGATTATTTTATCCATATATAACTCTCTATTTTCTTACCTTCTATAAACATGATTTCATAATAGAAAATACAATGTAGATGTGTCTGGTTTGCAAAACTGGCATTTGATTTTTTTAACTTAGGTTCACATCGGTGAAATTAAAGAGGAAGAAGAACTTGATGAAAATGGATATATTTTGCATGATTCTCCCTCAAGCATGACAATAAGCTGGAAAGCTCGTGATTTTGAAAGTAATCCGGAGAAGATATTTGTTGCCATTGGAACTGAAAGTAATATCCAGGAAGAACTTCCTTGGTTCACTATTGATGGCGAAAAAGCCTCTGTTTTGATCGAAAATCTTAACATAGTACCAACCGCAAAATCTAACAAAACTTATATCGTTTCTGTCAAAGTAAAAAATCGCGCAGGACTTGTTTCAAAGATTGTGAAATCTAAGCCAATCTATGTTCAAAGTGAAAATGTCCCTGGTATAATTTTCGACGGAAGAAATCTCTTGAAAGCCGAAGATTATCAAATAGATAAAACATCTATTGCGATGTCCTTCACTGGATTCGAAAGTGAGGCTTGTAATATTATAGGCTACAACTGGGCGGTAGGGTCCAGTCCATATTTCACCGATATTCTTCCGTACACAGAATACGGAATTGTGTTGAGAAACAAAACCGTCGGTCATGCACAAATACATCTGAAACTCTTTGAAGCTGAAACATACTTTGTGACTGTAAGGGCAAAAACAGGACATAATTGTCGAGAGTCATATATCGTGTCCACATCAAATGGAATAAAAATCGACTCTAGTCCTCCCAAATTTGTATTTATCCACAATACTAAGTCTACATCACTTAATATAGCGATATTTCAAAAATCTCTTGACTCCATTGATCTTAAGTGGGAAGTAAATGACCTGTCATTGATCGTAAATCAGTCTGTTGCACTGAGAAAACAACCATTTTCTGAAGACATCTGGCATTCAAATGACCCATCTCTTACGTCTGTACCTGCTGGAAGTGTCCAATTGGAGACAGGACAGGTGTTATTTCTAACAATAAACTCCACAGATAGTGCAGGGTTGAGCAATTCTGATATTTCTCCTCCAATAATGATCGATAACACGATACCTTCTGCTGTCGATTTTAAATGCACGCCAGTGATATCAGTCGCAAAATCTCTTGTCGAGTGTTCATGGTTAACACTGATAGAAAATGAGAGTAAAATATCAAAAGTGCAATTGGCAGTTGGAACTCAACATTTGATTTATAACATTATGAATTTTACTGAAATTCCGAAGTTTAGATACACGTGGATACGAGATTTTAAAGCAATCATAAAAGACCGTGATATTTCAAAAATTTACATCTCGATAAAGATTTCTAACATCTTGGGTAATTTCCTCAGATTAGAATTTCCAATTGATGTAGACAGAACTGAGCCGGAAGGAGGAGAAGTTTATTTTGTAACGTCAACGAGATCAGGAGGTATGAGTTGGAGAAAACAAGAATGTCAGCAACCTGTATCCTATGCAGAAATTTCTCTTAAAAATTTTAAAGATGAAGAAACTGCATTAGAAAAGTAAGGAAAAAAAAATCTTATAAATTCAACATTGCGTTAGATGTTCTTATAGTCTTTATTTATTTGAGGCTATCATATCAAAATGAGTAGATTAAAAAAAAACAACTTTTTTAATTTCTATGGAAATTATGCTTCAGTCTAATTTTATGTTTTTATGTTAGCTATTTATTCCAAATTATTATATGATTGAATGTTTCCTGGCTATCTAATTGTCTTAATTGGCTGAAATCCAACATTCTGACTAATTCACCTCATAAACAGTTTTCCAAGTGGTCAAGTATCTTTCAAAAATGTAAGCAAGAACATCTATCTCCTATATGGCTATATAATGTCTTTAACATAGTGCAGAAGAGACAACATAATATATTTCACCTATTTTTATTTCAGAATTGAAGTAGGTCTCGGGACGTTACCTGGAATCACAAATATTTTGGATTATGTTACAGAATTATATAGCAATTATACGTTTTTAAATGATGTAGCTTTACCAGTCGGAAAAATGGTATATGCGACAGTAAGAGTGTTTAATAGTGTAGGGCTTTTTAAAGCAGTTGTCTCTGACCCAGTTGCGATAAGCCCTAACCCTTCATTGTCAGTCATTGATGGATATAGCCCAACAAATGATGAAGATTTTCAGCATCGGACTTCAGAAATGAGCGGAAAGTGGATCTACTCGGACCCGTGTCGAGTAGTGAAAGCTGTATGGGCCATTGAAGACATCGAGGGCAATGTCGTTCAGAACTTCACAAATATCCAGGGTGCCAGAACTCACTTTTTTAATGATGAACTTCTTTTAAGAAATGGAAAGACATACATTAATATAATTCGCATAACTGATGCTCTTCAAAGAACTTTTCTATCACGGTCAGATGGAATAGCTGTACGAATACAACCACCGGATCCTGGATTCGTTCGCGATGGACTAGGAGATGATCTGGATTACCAGGCATCATCTAATAAAATATCAGCAAACTGGGATATATTTGGAAATGACATGAAAAAGGATCCTACCCAAACAATAGTTAAGTACATGGTAGCCATTGGTAATGATCGAAGATACAGTTATACAAGGAGCAATGTCCATACTTTTGTTGATGTTGGTTTGAATAAAACTTACACATTTACACACCTAAATTTGACCGAGAAAACAGTTACTTATTACGTATCAGTCAAGGCCATAAGTCTAGCTGGAAGTGAACAGGAATCTACATCGGATGGAGTAAGGGTTGGTTTCAGAAATGGAATAACACCTGGAAAAATACACTATGATCGTTTTCAAGCAATGACAGATAAAATTAATGTATTTTGGAGTAATTTCGGTTCAGATCTTGGTATAAGGCAGTATTATGTGGCTATTGGGTCTTCTAAAACTTTCTTTTATAATGACACCTCTGACTGCTCTGTATTAAGTGATACATACGCAAAACACTTTGATGTACTCTTGCCTAAGGGTTGTGGATTAAATACATATGTCACCATAGATAATTTACAGCTAAGACATGGATCAGAATATTTTATTACGGTAATTGCAAAAGATGAATCTGCATTATGTTCTGTGGTGTCGGGAGATTCGTTAACAATTGATACCACTTCTCCATTGCACAGCAGACTTTTTATTGGATCCTTCCAACAGGTGTCTGTTATTTACGTTCATGATAATACCACTCTAAGGGTACATTGGGAACACGGATTGGATAATGAAAGTGGAATAAAAATGTATATCTTAACATTGTACTCAAAGCCCCATTGTGCATCTGAAGAAGAAACCATCATCATGGAATCGGAAATTAAAAATGAAACAAACTACAGATTTTATCAGTTGAACCTCAAAAGTGAAGTCCCCTACTTTGTTCGATTGAAGGTTGTAAATCGAGCAGGATTGAGTACTGAAATAACCAGTGTGCCTATATATGTTGACATGACTGAACCCTTGCTGGGAGATATAAAGCCAGGATTAGACTGGGCGGGTTCAAAACCAATCCAATTCTCACAATCAGAAATTCACGCTGTTCTTGCGGTTGCAAAAACAAAACGTGTTTATAAATGTCCTCGGCAGCAAAAGTTTCCCTTCAGTGCATTTAGAACAATTTCCAATTTTTCTTCAGAGTGTACAGATATAACTTTGGAACATCTTGATATTATTATTCGGCATGATGACACTTTGCAAAAAATAATAAAAGGGGGAGTTCGTTCAGACTTACTAAATATTAAAAGCGGCGTGTATTCATATAGAGTTAAACCTTTAGGTGGTCAGAACATGACCACAATTATTGGTCTTTCTTCTGATCTTCTCCATATTCCTCTACATTTTACAGAACAGATTAATTCTGATTCAAATTCATCAACCAGCAACGCCACTGGACCACCCGATGTTTACGCAATAGGAATTGCAATCCGAGGATACCCGAATGATGAAATTAGAGAAATTATCCTCTGGGCTAAGGATAGATATGAGACTCATACTAGAATATTGAATTTTGAAAAAGAAAAAAGTTTTGTAGACATCGACTTCGAATTGGAAAGCATAAAAGACGATAGCGGATATAAAGTAACATGGAGCGTAAAATATTTCATAGATAAACAGGAAGTAGTACGGTTTACAGGCTTAGTATTTCAGAATAGATGGTCCATGTTTTTGCTCACAAATAATAATAATGGTTTCTTCCCTCCAATAACTGATGTATTTCATCCCTTTTACGCTGTATCCAGATTTACGAATATTCAGGTGCCCTTAGATATTGACCATGATTGCCAGTATGGAAAGGCATTTTTTGACGAAGAGAGCCATATCAAAGAAATTTGGGCAGGCGTATCGGATAGCATCAACAGAACGGACAATGTCAAACCCCTCCAATTGGTGATTGAATTTTGTCAGCCTTGCAACAAAATATGCCCTGATATGTGCGACAAAAATTGTTCAACAGAAAATGAATTTCAAATTATTCCTATTAAAATAACCAACTTAACGTTGTTATCATCATCAGTTGCTAATGAAGGGGTACAAAATAGAACATTTGATACAAGCAACGGAAGTACTGTTTTTGATTTATATGAAACCCCTGCATACTTTGTAACTGCTAAGATAGTAAACCAGGCCGGTCTTCAGGTTCTTCTTCATAGCCCTGCAATTACCATTGACACTACACCACCAGAATTTGTAAAGATGGAGTGTGTTGATCCTGACCATTCTATGACAGAGCCAGCTAATTATCAAAGTAGTTTAAAAAGTTTAGGGGCATTTTGGGAATGTAACGAAGACGTTGGTCAAATAATACGATACGTAATCTCTGTTGGGGTATCAATGAATGATACGAATGTTCTCAACGAAACGAACATTGGCTTGAATACAACTTTTCGAGCTGACGATCTAGAAGGAATGCTTCAAAACTTTACTACTTACTTCATTTCAGTGCATGCATATAACTCAGCAGGTTTACATGCGAAAGAGTTCTGTAATATAACCGTTGATTTACATGCACCGGATATATCAAAGACAGACACGGCTGTGCTATTTAAAAGTCCATCAATCATCAGTGCACCCCCAAATATAACATTTCTATCATCTCAGAACAATATTGGTGTACAGTGGAACCCGCATACGACTGACGCTGAATTTTATGGTAAGAGAAAAGAAGATAATAATTCTTGTTCCAAATATTTCAATTTTTGTAATATACAGTAAAAATTGTCGAATCCTTTTCACTGTGAATTCTGATCTTTATTTTCATTCCCATTCTTACTAAATTCTATTATCTTTACACTGTTTAATCTGACAAACTGTCTTTTCTGACACAAAATTTGACTCTCAGTGTATGTCGAATTAGACAGGTTTCACTGTATTAATCAAATGTTTTCCACTGTTTTTCAGTAGGATTTCACTTATTAGATAATTCCTTTCATATCCCAGTCTTTGTATTCGGACACTTGGCGATGCTAGACAATCAAATACATCAGTATATTAACATGCATTAAAGTTCGAGAAGAATTCCAAATAATTTAACTCATGAATCATTGAAATAGCAATGCTACTCTCAAAATTTAATTTCCTTATTTCATTAAGTTCTGAGTTTAGCATTGGAAAACTGTTTACGTTGCTATGCAATACATGTTTAATATGTAGTACATGTATATATATAACTGTCATTATTGTTATTGTTTACAGAGTGGCAGATCGGTTCTCACGATGGAGAAGGGGATCTTTTGGAGAAAGTGAAAGTTGGAAATAGCAAATCGCGCTCAGTTGCAATTGTGAATGGAAGAATGTGGCTTGATAATCAGAAAACTAACACAACTCTTGCAGAATTCGTATTGAAAACCTGGGATAACAAATCTATTGCTGAAGCAAAGAAGAACGCTTTTTTCAACATTGAACCTGGAAAATGTTTTCATATGGGATTATTTGCAATAAGCAGATCTCACTTATCAAGCCAATTACCACTTGATGCAAATTGCTATCTACGTACGTGTTTGGTATTCTTGATTTCTTCTTTAGATAAAATAGTTGCATTGATGTAACAAATTTAGCAGTATACAGGTACTAGGGACAATCAATATATGGCATTGTTTTTGCAGGACCAACTGACCATTTAGTGTCATTTCATAGCAGAAAGATTCAAACAGTGCATTTGACTAATGGTAGGTTTGTAGACGTGACACAGCACAGCACACTTAAGAGCAACCTGATAATAAAATTACAAGGTAGGTCCTCTGAGTTCCTGTAAGTTTTAACACTGCTTGAAAACCAAAGTTAAACAACTTCGAGACTTATTTTTTTAACATACATTTCAATACCTTAATAATAGAGGATTTATAAGGACATTGAATGAAGAAAGCTTGTTTATAGAGGGTGTAAAATGGCCTTGAAAAATAAAAGCAACGTATGTCTCGAAGATAACATTATAATGAAAAACAAATCCATGTCTGATAAAGACATGGATTATGGTCAGGTTAAAGGGAGCTCTTCTAAAAGAAGTCTGACTGCCTGTCTGTTCATGTTTAACTTTCTCCTCCGCAACCACAAGGTCATTTAAAAAAACGTCCAGAGGTGAAAATGTGAAAATTTATTCAATAAAACCTCATGCTCCAATATCAGGATTGAAAATATGAGCAGACAGTATATTTTTTCTTCAAAATTAAGGCTCCAGTGCGTAAATGTTGATCGATTGAAAATGCATTACATTTTTATAACATATTTTTACTGCTTTTGGGTATCAAGAAGATAAATTTCATGCAATTTGATCACAGACAAAGGGTAATCTGACAAAATCTTTGTTAAATATTCCTAAATATTTGAAGTCTTTTTTGGGTTGTGTCGACCATACTTTTAGAAATTTGTAGCCAAGTAATTGTTTTGTTTTGATGTGTGTAGTATTTCGTGATTTTATATCGATATTTATTGATAATATATATGACCATATCAACATGCAGTTAAAAATTGTACACCTTCTGATTTCTAAGGTTTTATTTTTCTTTAAAATCTATTTTAGGAAGCAAAGGTGACATATCTTTTGGAGTACTGACTAGAAATGACACGAGAATGAATTATGGTTCTGCAGGTGGGCCCAATTATAAATCATATATTGTAGATCCAAACACCACTGCTTCTCAAACATCCAGGGCACTACAACGAAGGTATGACATAAAATACAGCTAATAGAATTTAGGTCTGTTTAACAATTCCTAATCAATTATATTTTTTAGCAATAAACCACTTAAGTCAGGTTATAAGATACATCAGCTCAGTCAACAACATTTTCCTTTCTTTTTTCACAGAATTTTGAAGTTTTCTGATTTATCCTTCTTCATGTCACCGAGTTGCGAGGCTGACATCAATCGCTGGATAGACTTTACTTTGACTGTTAACAAATCTGACTTGGTGGAATCTACACAACCTACACTGGTCATCTGGAATAGAGGTATCATTGTCTTATTTCCCAAATGAGCAATGGACTGGATACGAGTGCATAAGCATGTACTTAAGAAAAGAATATCATATTTAACGTCTTCTTATTGTTTGCAAGACCAAACTCTGTCGAAAGAAATGTCATCGGCAAGAAACGAAGTACAGAAAAAGCAAAACAATTTTCGGAGTTCCCATGGACTGTCTTAAACTATGTTTTATTGAAATGGTCTTCATAATATTGTGTATTGAAAAATCTAAATTATTTTCATATTTCTTTAAAGCTAAAGAAGAATGGCAAATTTTTGATGACCACTGCAAACAAAACATCCAAATGGATCATGTACAGAGTACATTAAAGGGAAAAGTAAGTATCGTTTTAGCTCACCTGAGCTGAAAGCTCTTGTTAGCTTTACTGATCATATTTTACCCAATCTAAGCCAAACTTGCCACAAAGCATCCTTAGGTAAAGGTAATTCCATTTTCTTCAAATCAAGGGCCAAGCCCTCTTTCAAGGGAAGGTAAATAAGAATGAGTAAAAATTTTGTTGGATCTTTTAAAAAAATCTTCATTTCAAGAACCACAGGTCCAAAAAAGTTGAAACTTTAGGTGAAACATTCATTACATGGAGTAAATACAAGTTTGTTCACAATTTGTTTGGGCCACAAAAGGAGATGAAAGTTTAAAATAGAAATATATAGGAAAAATCTTTATAAACGTTTTCTTCTCAAGATCAGCAAACTATGATTAGTCGTATTGATATGGAAGCATCCTCAGGTAATGTAGATTCAAATTTGTTCAAATCATGCCCCCTTGGAAATGATGGGGCCACAATGGGAGAGTTTAACATATAGGGATATATAGACAAAAAAAAATCTTTAAAATCTTTCAAATAAATCTCAAGAACAGCAAAGCCGTGCTTAGCCATTGATATGGAAGTATCTTCAGGTAGTGTAGATTCACGTTTGTTCAAATCATAACCCTCAAGGGTAGGACGGGACCAAATCTTTAAAAATCTTCTTCTCAAGAACAGCAAAGCCACGATTAGTCATATTAATATGGATGCATCCCCAGATAGTGTAGACTCATGTTTGTTAAAATCATGAAACCTGGGGGTAGGGTGGGGTCACATCGGGGATCAGTTTTACATAGGAATATATGATAAAAAATATCTGCTAATAAAGAACAGCAGGGCTATATTGAACCAGGTGAGTGTTATGGTCCATGGGTCTAATGTTGAATATTCCTTGTGGATGAAATAGTGTAAAAAAAAATTAAATTATCATATTTGTTGAATTCTTCCTAATAAATGTCAAGATAAAGTGTTTGCACGGAGATGTATCATATGAGATTTAAAGTGCAATCTCAATAATTCAAAGAAAATGTTTAAAGAAAAACATTCACGTTTCTCTAAAAGTACCTCTTCTCCAGATTTGCATAAATGATCCTGGCCATGATAGAATCAGAAGACAAACATACCAGACAGTTATACTTACAGAACCACGTCAATTTGCTCTGGTGATTATCAAGAAAGAACTCCAAAACTCACCACCTATCATAAAAAAGACACAAAAGACAATTGATGAAGATGGATTTCTTCATTATAATCTTGAATGGGAGGATAGTGAAAATGACAACATAACATTTAAATTGATTGACGGACCATTTCACGGAAATGCCAATATCACTGAAGAGGGAATAATAGATTATCAACCAAATCCGAACTTCTTTGGGAAGGACACTGTACATATTGGCATCACAGAAATCATTTCAGAGACTGGTTCACAAGAATTAGTTAATCAATTCAATATAACATTTGATATTCTGATAGAAAATATTAATGATGGCCCATCAATATTGTTTGGCACTTCATCCAACGAAACTTTTGACTCAAAGTCACATAACAAAATTGATGTGATAGTTGAAGCCAACGATGCCGAATATTTCATAGGATCCTTTGTTGCTTTTGATATTGACCAGAATGATTCCCTTACCTACCAAGTTTATAGCAATGGATCTGACGACATGGTGTTTGATTTGCAAGAAAAAGACAGGCCAAATTCTTTCTTGTTAGAATTTATCAGCAACTCCACAACTCCTCCAACTGTACTGAAATCATTTGACTTGTACCTAAAGCTAAATGTCTCAGCATACGGCTATGTAGAATATGGGCTTTTGGTATATGATTCCGTCAAATGGTACAGTAAAGCCGTATGGTTTCAAATCTTTGTTTTACGAAATCCGTGTGTCCATGGTCACTGCGAGCGAATCTTTCCAAGCGGACTTGATTGCAATGACAAGATGAGATCCGTTTCTTTTGAGAAATTTAAATGCGCTTGTGACAAGGGATATGAAGGCATCTATTGTGGAAATGAAATCGACGAATGTGTCCCAAACCCGTGTCCTTTAATGTATGACTGTCTGGATGAATTAGCAGACTACACATGCACGATTAACCCAGCAAAACTTATGGCCATTTTGATATGCATATGCATTACCTTTTTGCTGATCATATTTGTGTATCGAAAGAAAAAGCAAGCAAAAAAGAAGATGAAAGTATCCGATTTTTGGTACGTTATAAGAACAAAATTATAAAATCAAAAAATATATATCTACATATTTAAATGTATTACGTATGTATTTTCTGATGAATGTTAAAAAGCTTCCTAAACATAGCTTAGTTGTATACTATGTTTGTTTTAGGCACGAAACACCATCAAACCAAATGGCAGGTCCCTCTGGAACATTCCCCGTTGAGAGTAATCAGCAAGTTTCCGACTACGATGAGGAGGATCAGCCTCTTCCGCAGGAGAAATCAGTTGATTCGGAAAACGAACACCTTGGAGAAACTATCAACATTTTGGAACTGACAAGTATGTTTGCTTCCAGATCCAAGAAGACGCTTCCTCCCCATCACGTAGGAAGAATACGAAGCCAGGACTGCAAACCCGGGACTAGCTCTTCCAAGAAGCCTTCCATACATACCCAAGATGGCGGTGTTCCAAACGTTAATATATAGTTCAAGTTCTTCCTTTGTTGTTTAATTAAGTAATGGACGATTAGAATTAAAATTCATTCTATTTATTAAACTAGAAGAATGATTTTTCTCCGGTATGAATCAAGATTTTTAACACTCTGGAACACAACACCCTATAGTTTTTCAGCCTGATTATTCTTATCTTTGTTTTTACTATGACTTGATTTATCAAATTTCTGAATAATTAATTGAGCATTCCAATTGTTAATGAATCAATCAATTAAATCAGAGATTTAAGTGTATTATCTATTCATTTTTGTGGTTGTCACCTCACCAAAGGCTCATTTAAAAATTTTGCTGTGAAAAAGTGTTTATTACCATTTCCTTCCAGTTAATCTATTGTTATTTAAATATAAATCAGGCGCCCTGTCCTTTATCGTCCTCTGTCTGCGTAAACAGCATGCAAACATTGCTTGCTAACGGAAAACCAAATATGACTGAAACCGAAACTTCTTCCATTTGGCCTACAGGGTTGCAATTTGAAAGCTGTTTCGCGATTGGCTAGAACAAAGGTTTAAAAATCAGGATCCCAGAAGAAGGGTACCAAATCAAACCAAAAACTCGAGACTCGCAAGATGAAAAAAAAATTTATCCCATTCTCCCCTCTTTTTTCATCGTTGAAATATCGTCGCCATTTAGCGCCAATGAATCATAACTTAACAACCAAACTTGAAACTACACAACATTTAGTCCAATATCACCAATATGACCAACATAATCTTGCTGTTATGATTTTTTTAAGATTTCCATTCACTAGTCTCTCCGACCAGTAGTTCTGTGAAAGATAGAAATAGATTCCTCCAAATTTTAAATATTTCTTAATCATTTCTCCTTGAAAAAAGATGTTACACTTCATTTGATAAAAAAATAAATCTGAACCTCCGTCACCTGTGGGTTGTTCTGTAGCAAGTTTGGTTGAAATTTGCCCATTGGTTCTAGGTAAGGTAAGGAAACTGGAGGTAAGGAAAATTCGTTCACATAAGCTAAAATTCACAATTGTTTATAAAATCATTTATTAAACGTTTAAAAAAAATCTCATATTTCATGAGATAAATCAACATAACCTAAAACACGACACGTTATCACAGCAACATTCAACAGGAAGCACATACACAAGTACACATACAACTCTATGAGCATACATATTAAACAGTTATTTCTCATTCGTATTTCAAAGCAATTATTCATATACAAAGAACCCATGAGACAGTTTAACTTATGATTAAATACATATATTGCTGCTTTTGAGCATCAAAAATAAATCTTAATAAAAAATAATCTTCATACTTATATACTGACTAAATTTGAGCTGCTTTATCGTTATATTTAACGTGCAGATATTCATCCTTTGAGCTTTTATTTCTCATGGCACATTTAATGACGCAAATGATTAAAACTAGAATAATGAACAAGCTGATGACAACAGAGACGATAATGATGATGAGTCGATCACGAGAAGTGAACAAGTCTGTTTCCTTGTGCCCGTCATCAGCTTCTCCGAAATCCTCTCCTGTAAAACACAAACACATCATTAGTTTTACAAAGTGCTACTCACACAAAAGGTTGCTAATATCATTTTGGTGTTCGAATTTAGTTTTATTATAAAAACCACAGCATTCTGTTAACTAAAGTTGCTAGAATTTTTAACAATTCATAATGGTTTGGTAACTGATATATATAATTATGTTAAAAGCAAGTCAAGATATTTTCTACATTACAGTAGAGAGTAGAGTGATACTGAGAACTAATACTGTGTTATTATACTAAGTCTAATACGAAGTGAGAAAGAGTATATATTGCATCTAATTGATCTCTACCATCGCTATATAGTGTGATAGTCTGCGCTGGATCAGTTCTACATCCATAGACGTTACATACAGAGAGCTTAAAGGAATATCGTGTGTTTTCCTGTAGCTCGCTGTATGTATAGTTTATAAGTCCACCCCTATCAGGGGAGACAAAACTACTGATTATCGTCCAGTTCTCATTGTTCACAGCCATTTGGAGGGAATATTCATGGAACTGTTCCTCTTTGCTGTAGGCCACTCCCCAGGTCAAGGTCACAGAAGATGATGTCTTATTTGTGACCTTGAAAACATATGGCCTGTCAGGTACCCCTGTTGATAATTGTAGTTTTTAATTAAGTTTTGAAATTGAATGTAAATATCAGGAAGTTGGAGATTTTTTTTACTTAATGTATGATTTAAACTGACAAATTTGAGGCTGTGGTGATTACCTCGAGTTACAAATCTAAACGGTTTTGTCTGATTTGGGTTACAACCGTAAACATTGCACGTCCCCAACGTCACATGGTACACTGTTTTGGGCTGTAGAGAATCTACCTCTACCCTTTGTCTTCCCTCTAAAGCCATGATGGTGTAGGGAGTGTCTGGTAGCAGCATATCTCCTTGGCTTTCTATATTAATCATTATTTTTGTTTGTGTGTTCAAGAAATCTGAACTAAACACTATTTTCGCTGACGTATTGGTTATCTTGGAGACACGAAGATTTCTGGGAAGATCTGGGTAGCCTGAGAACATAAAGGGGGTTTGAAATAAATGTTTACAAGATTTCTGTTTCAACATTTCTGATTTTCAAAAACCACAGTCAAAAATTTTATACCTAAGGTAGTGACCACTAGTATTTCGGGATCTCTCGGGTTACATCCATAAGCGTTACAGGGCCTAACCAGAAACTCATATCTTGTACGGGGCTGTAAGTCGAACACCTCCACAAAGATTTCGCCTGAGACACTTCTCATTTTGGGCTTAAATTTCTTGAGGGACTTCCACAATGTACCCTGCTTCCGGATCAAAACAACCAATGTTATCAGATCAGCTTGCTTGTAATTTGGGAGTTTATATGTAAGTGTAGCAGTTGTGTTGGTAACGTTAAGAACGTACGGGTTAACTAGCACTTCCGGGTAACCTACAGTCAGAGGAAAGAGTATAATATTTATATTAGGGATGGCAATTTCTAATCGGTTAACCGGTTACTCGGTCGGAACGATGGTAATCGGTTAGAAAATCTGTAAACGGTTAGTCGGAAAAAATTAATATATGTGTAAAATTGAACACAATTTTCCCCGAAAATTCAATTTAAAAGTATACAAATAAAAATTTCACCTATTTATTTTAGCTGATTCAGAGATAATTAAATGTATCTGATACTACAGGCATGGAATTCTTAATTATTTTTTACCTATTAAAATTGAAATAAATTATAAATAGTGTTATGATCAAATATAAACATAATATTACTATATGTAACATATTTATGGTCTTCTTTATTTCAGAAGAGCTTTCAGTGATGAAAGATGTCTAGAATTTTTTATACGATTAACCGATTAATCGGTCGGAACGTCTTGCGGTTAACCGATTAGCAATTCCGCATTCGATTGCCATCCCTAATTTATATATATATCATCAAACATACAAAAATCGTGTCCCCATGCATGATTAAAGCAATGATCGACTAAAAGTAAATTAAAAATTCTAAACAAACATTTCTGTATGCATAATGTTAAAGGTTCTACTAAAATTAACAGCCATTAGACACCAAAAATGTTAAGAAAAGATTAAAAAGTTAAATGAAATGAGAGATCAGATAAATGAAATGAAAGCTGATAAATAATAGTGATTTAGAAATGAGAAGATCATTGTAAGAAAAACACATAATACAAATTTTCAGACTACATCGTAAGCCTACAGTACCTTTAGTTTTAATAGTGTGTACAACATCGAATTTCTCCTTGTTGCACCCTTTCACAGCGTTGCATGCCTTGACTCGGATCTGATAACTCTGATTCGGAAATAAGCCCGTAATAATACGGTTGAATGTTTGACGATTGTTGGATGGAATGCTCTGGCTCAAAAGTTTCCACCCGGTTGACGTATTCCTCTCTATTCTGAAGTTTTGAGATGTTCCCCAGTCGTATCCAGCCTCCCACGTGACTGTGACAGTTGTGTTTGTCACATCCATTATGCTGATATTTATTGGAGCTCCTGGAGCGCCTGGTTAACACAGCAATTGTATAGTTTTATATTCAGATTAAAATCTATCGAGTTCTAGAAAGATGGTTTTGTAAGCATACAGTGTATAAATGTGTATATATATATATATATATATATATATATATATATATATATATATATATATATATATATATATATATATATATATATATATATATATATAACCCTTTCTATTAACAAACCTAACAAATGTAAGTTTACGTTTGACTTGTCTGAAAAGTGAATCCTGCTCAGGGTGCTTCTCCGCTTGACTACGGACACCCCTCCCATTTTGTAAAATGCACATCTTTCTATTCATACTCTCTCTCTCTCTTTCTCTCTCTCTCTTTCTCTCTCTCTCTATATATATATGATGTCGTGTCAAAATCTTCATGCTGTATATACATGTATCTAGAATAATATTACTCACACTTTAAATCATTGGCTTCGACTTTCATGGCCTTGACCTCTTGTACGTCGCCCACATCCTTAAGGATGATATTTACTGCTTTGGGGTTGTTTGTGCTCATGCGTTCAATCCTCTTGAGGTAATAATTTTCCCAGTATATATAGTCATCTGAAAACGGTATTAGAAATTAATTGAGCAATTTATTGTGACTTTAGCAATCAAGCTGCAGCGATAAAGTTACATTTTATAAATCAAAAACGTGTAAATAAATTAGTTATTAAGGGAAAGAAACTCTCAGGGGATTTTTTACTGAAGACAAATTTGTATTAGATGATCGAGATAAAATAAAGAAAATTTGATATAACATACGGGCATAATTTGAAAGTGTTTAAAAGGAAAATAAAAGAAATATTACAGTGTTTCGTCAGTTTTAGATTTTCTCTCTGATTAGAGGTATTAGAAAGTCATTCCATTTGCGTGGAAGGACGTACATATTACACGGTACCTAAGATGGATAGGCCAATCATGCCTGGGAAGGAATGAACTGATTTATTGGCCAGCTGCCGTTTGCCGGATCCGTCCGTTTTGCCGACCCACATAGACTGGTCGTTTTTATTATTCCAGTACAGTTCCTGTCTGCTGACGTCCAAAGCCAGAGCACTAGGGTAGTCCTTCTGCAAATCGAACACGACTCTTCTGGCACTTCCGTCCAGCTGACTTCGTTCAATTTTTGGCCATAAACCACCGTCCAACCAGTATAAATTCCTGGAAAACCAAACTTCATGTTGAATAACATTATGTATGTAATTCTACCGACAAAAACAAATCTGACTAGACAGCGGCTCTACTGGGTCAAACTTGAGACAGTCTGTGAGTAAAGATCCTTTTAATTAAATTAACTTTGTTATTTTAATTTCCTTTTTTTCTCGAAAAAGAAACACTGAGCCTTCATATTAACAGTGAGAGAGAAGAGGCAAATGTTAAAAATAATTAGAGCATTTGATTGGGGGATTTATCCTCTTTCTTTAGTAACAAAAAAATAGTATCATTATTGCATTCGTAACAATGGCTATATAGAATCATAGTTCTAAATGCATATACTCTTTATCGTATCATAGTCTATAAACACACCTGTATTGATGTATTATCCAGATTTTGCATTTTTAAACTTCAACAATTTACAGAGGTACGTTTATGTATAACAATAATTTGAAATAATTTAATCTTAAACATTTAATACATATTTCATTAATTTTTTTTTTATACATGTACATGTATTAGAACTGCGTTTGAATCGTGCTAAAATGTACAATCATGTCGGAGGAGCATAACAGTTTGGAAAAGAAAAAATGTACTTGTCAGACAAAAAAAAAAAAAAAAAAAAAATCAGGGGCAAACCGATGTAAGATGTACGCTTATACCAATATATACATGTTCTTTTGCTCTTCGACATGACGAGCAAGTCTGAATACGCAGACACTTCTGTACAACTAACATATTCAACAAATTTTCGAAAGATTTTTCTAATATTATGTGCTTTCCATGCAGATAAAATCTGATAAATACATAGCCGTTTGTTGCTGACATTTATAATCAGTTCTGTTGAACAAATAAGTTTTGAAGATTGGTACGAGATGTCAATAACATGCCCTAGACTACAAGTACAAACCCATTGCTAATGTCTATCGCTAGGTCCGCAGGTGAGCTAATCCGTTCATTAACTATCTCCATGTGCCTGTTTCCGTTCAGGTTTGCACGCTCTATGATGTCATATCCGGTATTGGTCCAGTAAATTGTACGCTGTTCGTAGTCAAGGGCCAGACTTATAAAGTATGTGGAAGATGTTGCGTTAAGACTGTAAACGCGTTCTTGCTCTGTAATAGTAATTTTGTCATTATGTCACAGAATCGTAATTATACATGGTATATACATTTATGCAAAATTCTATACTTAGGTTTCCATGTGTATCAAAACTGCAATTTTGTAAGCAACTGATTCCTCATAAATGTTGAGTATACATGTATATTGTCATGAGGAAAGAAAAACGTAAACGGGAAACATTTTCTGAGATTACCTTCTCCACAAAGATCTGTGCGCCATATTTCCCTAGTACCTATATCTGCCCAGTAGATTTGTTTTCCTTGAGGGTCAAACTCCACAAACTTGGCTTTGTTGATGTTGGTCAATGGGATCACGTGCCGCTGGGTACCATCCAAATGTGATCTTTGGATACTAGTTCCATTAGCAAAGAGTAGTAAACCCACTGCATAACAAAATATAGTAACGAATGTGTCAAACTCATAGTTTTCACTTAACTAATGTTACATCTTATCTTAAGAACTATTTCAAATGACAACAAATATTTCCTCGTCTATCGTTTCGGTTGCTAAGTCTGGGCCAACGCTTGTTTGAAAAGGGAATGATATATATCGATAATCCGCATTGATCAACATTTGCCAGGTTTTTCTCTATCTGTCCCTTTGTCTGTAAAGTTTCCATAGCTTCATCAGAACCAAATGTTAATTCTAACAAAAATTTTACATACATTTACAATTTTAAGGAACAAATATTAATAAATAGCTCTTGGATTATTTCCCTTGCTTCAGACTGGGGCCATTTAAGGTGGACAGAGATGAGTGTTACTGTAATACATATCACTGCAAAATTAAAAGAACGACCAATCGTACACATCACTTAAGGTCAGACGATACATTCCTCAAATATCTGTCTTGTATATCTTCGTAATGTATGAAAAATATTCAAAATTTTTACTACCTTCTGATTTCTAAACAAGCTTCAGAACGTCTTTTAAAAGTCCAAACACTAAAAAAATTTGATATTGGTAAATTGATTTTCCCCCAAAAGGATTATATAAGAAAAACTACTATCTTGCACAAATGCCTGGTAAGGTACCTTAATTTTTTGTGAGTAAACATGTTAAAGTAGCAATACTTTAATGACAAAATCTTGGAAAAAATTATATATTATTGAGGAACGTATCGTCTGTCCTTAATGTGTAGAGGACAGCAGGTAGAAAAACTACATACACTTCTGTACGAATATGTAATTATTATGGCGCACTGACCCTACGGGAATAGACGTATCTCACAATAACTCAGCCTAATCTGTGTTCATATTTCTTTGTTGAGGGACGTGAAAAAGGAAGTCATTTTCACACCTGGAGTGACTTTTTCTTCAATCTTCTTGGGCTGCGACCAAATACATTCCATATCACAAGAAGTATTCCACTTAATCATATATTCCTCTCACCAAATTCAAGGCAGTTCTTATATTAAATTCTTTCTTTTCTACATACTAATGTGTCATTCTCACTTGAAACAATTGACAAAACTTCTTGTAATTTTTAGACTGAGTCGTGAATCTTACATTCCTGAAACATCTGAGAATTTGTTATCAAGAACCTTTACCCCTTGTACAGATGTAAAACAGAGGTTGAACTTTCAGGTTTAAAAGATCAGCTGCTTTGTGATACAGTAGGCCATCAGATAAGAAATCCCGACAGATTTCAACAGTTGCTGTCTGTCATAGATGCTTAATATTATGTCTGGATACATCAATATTATTACGTCGGACAATTGTGAACGGTTGATGGAGAACGTTTGTTGTTCATCAGCTTTTGGAAAACGGAATCATAAATTTCAGAATTAGCTGAGTTCATATTGAAAGACTGTCACAGTGGTAATTAAATGGAGTCTCCAGACTGCAGATTCCCACAATGTCAACTCTCTGTTGTTGGAATTTGTTGTTACAAATGCTCATGTGCACTTATCAGTGTTTTATCGGAAACATTCACATGTGCCAGATGTTTATATTACATTAAAAGAAACCTATCAAAAACACATTTTCTATAACAAGTAATGTCTTAACATAAGTGATAATAGCATTTTTATGTAAAAAAAAAAAAAAAAAAAAAGAAAAAAAAAAGAAAAAAAGGGTTTTTTTTAAGATTTGAAAGATACATCATATGTTCAGATCATCATGTTCATACTAGTTTATGACATCGTGTATTTCACTAACGTCTCTCTGACATATGTCTATTTATCAATAAAAATCCGCATTATGACTACTAAAATAGTCAAATTGCAGATTTTTATTGATAAATGACTATTTAGTAGTCATAATGCATATTTTCATTAATAAATAGAAAATATGTCAGAAAGACAGGTATAAACCAAACTGACCCACTTTACTTATATATAAACCAATATATAGTGTATGCTATTCAACAGCATCTTATCGACAAGAGGATGGGGATCCCCTCTAATAAACACCATTTATTATATTGATTATTTTAAATGCAAATACGACAAGTGGGTTATCAATTAATAAAGTACGAGATGAAGCCCTAACATTATATAATAAAATCGTCTATATGTAACGTCATATTTTCTTGATCTAAAATTACGAAACGGCAATGGCTATATAAAGAAATGAATAATTACTACTCCAAGGCTAGAGCAAAGGATGCGGCATATATATAGTGTAACTCAATGATTTCTACAATTTAGCATTACATTATCCTTATGTCTACTTCGTCATAAATTATAATTACAAACTGAAAGCCCTTAATTTACAGATCTCTAGGGCCATCGACTGGATTTTTTTTTTACATCCTTCTCTTTCAATTATTTCGTACACTTTTATGTTCTCTTCCTCTTACTAACGCTAATGAAGTCAGGATTTCGAAGGGGGTAGGGGGTACAATATTACACGTTAAATTCCTTTTTTGTTCAAAATTGTACAATCACTACTTGTAAAAAGTATTTCTTATTGATAATTAAATTGTTATATTTTTCAGTTTTATATCAGAATCGATTTTTTTTGAAGAATTGGGTCACCATTCCCTTTATCACTGTATCATTATTTGTGTCTCTTCCGTGACATCCCAAACATATCACTAGAATCTGTTTCACCACATCCGCTGGGTTAATACTTATAATTTAGAACTTCGCTGCAGCTAATGGGAAAAGTGTGCCTTTTTAATCCCCAAACACACATGGCTGTGTGCTTAACAATTTTTATTTTAAACAGCATGCTTGTGTAATAAAAGCTAATTATGTAACAAAAGGAATCTACCCACCTTCCTCTGCATTCACCACACGAAGGAGAATTAAATCTAAAATATAAATGACACTCCACAGAAAGCCATGTTTTCCCATCCTACATATCGTATTTGCAGGAATCGGTCAGATCTCCGTATCAATATCTCAGACCGCCAAAACACACACAAATGTATCAAGCATTTAATCACCGGCAACTATCTGTGTATTATCGGACAATAGAATCGCAATCGACTTAATTAACAGATCACATTATCATCCGACTAAGATTTAATCAATGCCAAATTTATTGATCATTGATCCTCATAAATACGGAAGTCAGGTGTTCAATTCAAAACACGTGGAATCAAACTGCCTCCTAGACTCCTAATCGATTGATGCGGACCCCTCCTTCGATGGATGACACAGTCTTTGCTTATGAGAAAAGATATTTTGTTAAATGTATAATGTCCGGCTCTTCACACTTCCGAGCTAAATTTCCTGATGAAATAGAACACAAGTTTAAGAGGGACGCAGATTTGTTAGATAAAATTTGTTCCTCCATTCATTTTCCGCGGGTGATTACAGCTTGGCTGTGTGAGAGCGTTATGAGTAATACAAGAGTTTATTGATTCGTACGGTTCGCATTACTAATGAAATTCGTGAATTACTGACAAATTCCCAGTTGTCCCAGCGCAGAAGTCGATACATGCATCCCAAGTATATGGAAAAACATATGCCGATGCAGCTGCCTTAATTAATATTTAGGCCTTAGGAAGCCCGAAGAAAAAAAATAAATCAATGCAGGATTTTGTTTTTACTTGCAATTTTTGCTAAGTTATTTAAATTGCCTACAAGTGTCAGTAATAAAATATGGGGGGAAAGGTGTGGGGAACATGTGCTCTGTGGAATTACAAGTCAACCAAGGTACGCTTTCTCTTGTATAATATATACTATGCTACCTGAGGCAAATTGTTATAATAATTGTACACGGTTTCATAAGACCTCATGGTTCATTAGATCCAGTACACCAGAAAATATTCCTTCCCATCTAGCAGGGAAGAAAAAATTTATTATTATATACATGTATCTCTATAATATACATGAATGGCGAAGAATAGATTAATCATACATAAAGATGAAAATGATAACTATATGAGGCCGGTCAAATTATTAATTACGACAAACAATTCATTTGAATTTATTGTTTAATATCGAGTAAATTATATATTAATGTAATACAAAATAAACCAGTGTAAGTATAGATATATGAACATTGTCACGTATGGCGTGGGTTGATTTTCAGACAGAACTAAATAATATAAAAACAGTAAAAACACAAACACCGTATACAAACTTTTATACTCAAAGGATGTAGATTCATAGCAACTTTTTAATTAAAATTCTATCCATACAAAGTTTTCTAAAAACTCGAACCCTTAAAAGTTGTACAGTATATAAAAATGCTCAAGTACTTTAGGGTCTTCATTGCTTTTGTCAAGTATTCTCTGCCTTTAATTTGCAAGCATTATCAAAGATTAAATTTATTTAGATTTATTTATCAGACAATGAACGAAATAAATCTGGCTTTGAGGTATTCTGTATAGGAATACTTGATTTTTAATAATGACCTTGAACCAAAAAGCCCCGCCTTTTTATTTTTGAATTACATGTATGTAACTAGGTTTTAAGTGACATGATACAATAGAACTGAAGTTAATTTTTCAGAATAATGAAGGAAGTTGGTTATAAAAGACCTGTAGATTTTGGAATTATTTTAAATTACATCATATTCAGTTAAAATAAGCGCAGGATTGTTGACAAAGTCACAAATAATTGACCTTTCCTTGTTTCAACCTCTTTTAGAGAAAACAAATTGAAACCCAATTTCCTGATTCAAACATTTTTGATATCAAATATACGTCTTTTTTGATACATTTCGTACTTCCTTGTTTTATCTATGGATTCAAAATAAAAATATATATAACCCTTCTTATTGATTCCTTATAAAAAGCTGGAAATCTGTTGTTTTTTTTTTTTTTTTTTTTTGAGAGAGAGACTTACTTGGAAAATTGTATTTCCCTGCATGCGTCACTATTTTAAGATCAGGGTTCCGGCACATTAAAATGTAATTAAATATATAAATTCATATCATTTTTTTTTCTATTCGACCAAGGCCATTGATAGGGGGAGGGGAACTCATTATTTTGGGGGTTAAGGGACGTGTCACTGTATTACCCTACTCTGTTTCAGAATATTGATAAGGTATTTAAATCAAGTCAAAATATATAGGAATCATGCATATAATATTACATGTGCAACGTTAACATTAATACGGTTAAATTTCAGCTGGAGGCCTCTGATTTATAGCAGGTGGTTGTTGCTGCGGCACACGTGCTTAGAGAAGTATAATCAAAAGTTTAGAAAATTTTTTATCTGTCAGTAAGTGTTACAATTTGTACATCTGTGTTATATGGTATACGATATATATGTTGTACACAGAGAAGTACAATCAAAAGTTTTGAAAACTGTTTTAATATCTGTCAGTAAATGTTACAATTTGTACACCTGTGTTATATGGTATACGATATATATTCCAATACTACAATACATGATAAACACAGAACATTGTACAACATTAATAAGAACATATACGTCCCTGAAAAGTTCTTTAACTCATTCATCATGGACCACCACAATAGCTGACTTCTTCTTATAAGTTATCGGTTACCAGTCTTCATCCATTCAGACGTTATAAATCTCATTCCTAGGTTTACGATAGATCCGACACAGAAAATTGTACGATGCATCCTTACACAAATTGATGATGTTAAAGTCTTCATAAAAAGAAATAGAGCTGGTATATTTAGTCTTTACATATGTATAGACGAAGACCTGCATGTACATGCTGACACCAAGAATCATTTAGCATGTTCATGTATTTTCTCCTGGTCTATGAAGCCAGGCATAAAGTTTACAGCACTAGGATCCAGGACATACATACGTTGAACATTACAAAAAAAAATGTAAACAGCACTTCCAATTTCATTTGCGTGCATATCTATACTCATTAATGGACTATTGTAGACACATTGTATTTTAAGTTTTACTGTTTTGCTGTATACCTGGGACAGCAACATGTCAGAATAGCCATTTTAAGTTCATCACGTATTCACACATATGCGTCTATAAACATATAAATACATGTCTACCGTATCACTATAACTTTCCTGTCATATGGCGAACATATTCTGAAATTAAATAATTAAAACTCTAATTATTTTGTACTGTTCTACGTTAATAAAGAAGCCATCATGTTTTCCGGAATCAATTGAAATGTTTCTTGGTAAGACCTTAGTAAAATACCTTTGTAGTCGATTCGTCCGTCGCCATTTTGATCTGCTTCTTGTATCATTTCTTCTGCGTCTTTGGCGGCCATCTTGTCTCCTAAATACCAAAAATTATAAATATATTTTATTTAGTAGTTGCTAAATCGTATTTAAATGTTGTTACATCGATCATGTACATTTGATTTGAACAAGAAGCCCATGGGCCTTGACGGTCATCTGAGCTTCAGAAGTTTGTCACGGCATTACCACTTCCAGCCCTTCTGGAGCAGGAACTCTGACCTCATGTGACAAAAAGTTTACAGTTTGGTGAGAAAACTGTGATCATTATATCATATTCATGCAGCTTCTGATGCTCAGGAGTAAAGAAGATAAGATGGAATTTAAAAATGATCAGCATATTTAAAATATTTTTTTAACCCCAAAAAAGTTTATAGTAAAAGTGAATTTAGCTTTCACGTAAATTTGTAAATTAACTGCCGAAACTGAAATCCAATGTTTTGTTCATTAAAATTATTGTTATCAATTTTGAATCAATCCATTCTGGGGCCATCACATATAGAAATGTGGATATTATTTCATAATAGTATTACTGGATCTTGATAAACGCATTACTATTATTTATTCTTACCAAATTTTGTCATGTAGAAGATGAGTTCGTCTTTGTCGATATAACCATCATTGTTTTTGTCCAGTATCTGAAAAGCGTCCCTCAGATTTTCGTCGGTTTCATCAGGGATTTTGTCCAGTACACCACTAGTCAACATAAAATTCTCAAATTCACTAAACTCAACGGTTCCATTTCCTGAAAAGAGAGTTATTAAATTCATCAAAACTCCGGGCATAGTCAGTATATTAAAGCTTCAAGTTCCCTAATTATCTTGCTCCGCTGAGAAAATTGTCCCAGATCACATAATGGTATTCCTGCCATGGTACTCCTTCTGTTTACCAGTTTACCAGTTTATTAGTATCTCTTTGGTTGTTATTTAACAACATAGAGATCAAAGCAACATATTACAATTATAACAACATACATGCGTGAGCAAAACATGTAACATATATACAAAATGTGTTTATAATTGCATCATATTTCTATATATATATATATATATAGATGTTATTAACCAGGAGGTTTGACTCTCTCGTTTACAATTTTTATAAACGAACAAAGTTTACTTAATAGCTTAACATTTTTGGATGAGAACAATTCATTAAACTTGATAACATTTGGTCTTGTAACATAATATTTGGGAATATACAATTTTCTTTCATCTTTTAACTTGTTACAGCATAAAATATAATGAAATTCGTCACCTACATCATTTTCACATAAAAGACATATTTTATTATCTCTTTCAGTACCTTCCCATCTTCCCGTTTCAATCGGTAGTTTATGATTTGATGTTCTGAATCTAGCTAAAATTTGTTTCTTATGATTACTTAAGACGCTATCTACATAAAATTGGCATCCAAATTTTGAATTTGTAAATAGATTATATATCACACCTTTTGAAGAATTATTGCAGTTTGATTCCCAATTTTGTTGAAACTGATCTAGTAATTTTTGTTTCAAACTTTTAATTAGCCAAGTACTATTGAATAATTGGTTCTGATTCCATATATTACTGTATCCACAATCGTCTAAAATTGATTTCAAATTCTTTAACCATTTACATTCATTTCCATTGTCAAATTTAGCACGAAGTAATTTGTACATTAAATTGCAATATTTTGATTGTTTTCCACTTAAAATTTTTGACCAGTATGCAATAATTCTTGTTTTGATATGTACAGTTAAAGGTACTCTCGCTAATTCACCATATATCATAAAATTGGGAGTACTTGGTTTTAAATGAAAAAGCATTTTACAGAATTTTAGGTGTACTCTTTCTATAATTTCAACATTACCATAACCCCATACTTCACTTTACAACACTATTATCTCGTTAATGAGCTATAACCTAAGAGACATACTTTAAATATTACTTTTCACGATCTTAAATTAATCCAAAATGACCTTGCTGTTTTTCTGTGTTAAGACTCTTTGACACGACAGTGCAAAATGTGCGAAAATGCCCAACATTGGAGCCCCGGCATATTACTGGAAGAAGAAGAAAATTTTTGTCCAAAAATCTACAAACAAAAAAAAATCTTTCGCGGAAAAGGGGCAATGCAGAGATGCAGCTTGAGTTGACATACTGTACTTAATTTTCTTTTCTACGGTCTTTTTTGGTGGAAGGGGGGCACTCTTCGTTATGGTTCAAAGCCTTTTAAGCCTAATTTGATATGTACTTATTAACACTAAAAATTCTAAGGCTAGGGATATGGACCATCTAACCCAACTCTTCC